CACTACGCGACGATCCACTACAGGGTATATTGTCTTCTTGGGTATGTCTCCGCTTTTATGGCGATCCAAGAAGCAGACAGTTGTTTCACGTTCTTCAGCAGAAGCAGAATATAGAGCTATGGCGGTAGCTACCAGTGAGCTTGTGTGGTTAGTACGACTTCTGATTGAGTTGGGAGTTCCTTCAGATAATCCAGTTCCTTTGTTCTGTGATAATCAGGCAGCACTTCATATTGTTGCTAATCCGGTTTTTCATGAGCGTACTAAGCATATTGAGATTGATTGTCATTTTATTCGACAGCATTTTCAGTCGAAACTTCTGGTGCCTCAAACGATTTCTTCTGCTTTGCAGCTGGCAGACTTATTTACCAAGGCTTTGGGTCGGGATAGGTTTCATACTTTGCTTAGCAAGTTGGGCATTAAGAATCTACATGCTCCAACTTGAGGGTGAGTAAAGAAGTAACTCGTAAATAGTTGTATATACTTTTACGATTAGGGTTTGGTAATTTGTTCAATATGTGTATAAATATATCCCTGTATACATCAATACAAGTGTGATTTTACCAACTCTTTAGTGAGTATTATAGCTATAGTACGGAATTTCCAAGGAATGACAAATATTGAAACGATCCGCCGGTTCAATCATATAAACAATCATTTTTTCTTCGCTTAATTATTCTCTTGTCTCTCTCAAACCAAAACATTATGTGAGAAAACCCACGTAAAAAAAGATTTGCAAAGAGGAAATGAATATTCGAAACTTCGGAATTTGGATTATGGTTCAAAGAGACAACATAAATAATTTAGACAAGTTGTCGTTTTGGTTAATTTAAAGCTTAATAGTCTGGACGGCAATATGGATAGGCCACTACTAATGACCAAATATTATTACAAAAAAAGATTTTTTTTTGGTTTAGTACGAAATCTCCACAGAATGACAAATATTTAATACCATCTCTCTCAAAAACCTAATGATCATACTCGTAATACAAAAAAGTGACCAATTATTTTAATTTATTTAAACAAGGGAATACCATTATTTTTTATATCCCTGATTTTTTTTAAGGGTTCACTCCCTGTAATGCATTTATTTCAACTTTTTCTACTTCTTTGTGATTAAACTGTACAGATTCATTTCAAAGAGGAGAAGGGTTATTAAACTTCTTTTTTCGAAAATAAGCGACGAACTAAAAATGTACCCGTATAGTTCAACTCTTAATATTTAATTACTTTCGTATATATCATGCTCTGTGTATTATCTATATTGTTTTGTTCAATATAAAGGCTTCTTATTTTTGAAATGGAAGAAAAACATTATTTTTAAATACCAGTTTTTCCGCCACTTTATTAATGGTGACAAATTCCGTGCTTAACGAGTTGATCTAGCCCGTTGCCAAGAGTTGAACTTGCATTTCATACTCAACCACTTATCTTGTTACGATATTCAATCCTTAAGCAACAAAGAAGTTAATTGATTAAGTATTTACTAATTGAATTATTCAATCTACTCTGAGATCGAATAAACAAGTAATTGATTACTTATTTAATTACCCAACAACAAATAGTGTTTTTTTTGGCGGACATTTTGCTGTCTTAAAAATGATCAAGTTCCCTGAATGGCCAGGAAATATATGCTGAAAAATAGTGGATTGATATAAAATATGAAATTGTTGAACAAAACCGAATTGTGATTTAAAATAGCTAATTGTTAATGGGACCATATTAACAATTTAAGCAAAAAGAGAGGAGTGAAAAAAAGTTTACTATTTTTACGTTGTTCTTGTATTCTTTTGTGTATTGGGGTAGAATCTATTGGATGCATGGCTTTCAAAAATGGTACTTTTTTACAACGAAGTTCAATATTGATTGGGGGGATTAGGTAAGAGTAAGACTCATTATTTCTATTATTGAGACAAAAATGAAAGAAAAGAAAGGTCAATGGTCAAAGTGAAAATGTTCTTTCACATCTCTTTCAGAGAATTCAGACAAAAAATACTACGTAATTAATAAGTGAAAAAAAATACTAACTTCATCTCCAAAAATGGAGGTATTGTGTTATTCTGTTCTCCATTATCCCCATCTCTTTCTGCTTGAAACACATCGGACTAACCACGCGGGAATTGTGACATTTTGACTTTTGTTTTCACTCGAAATGACACCAAATTAAGTACCACTGAAATTATTCGGGTGTGTGTGTCCATTTTTCAGTATGTTTTTTGTTTTTACGACGTCAAAGAACAAACACTATGAGAAAGGGAATAGAGATGTTTATGTTAGTGTAATAGCCCTCCCATCCTTATTATAACGCATTTTGATTTCGTCCAAAATTTAATCTAGAATGTCTTTTTAATTGAAAAAAATTCTTAATATATATTTTCACATTCGTCGTGTTTTTCTAATTATTATGAAATATTTTTAAGGTTTTTATTTCAATTAAAAAAGCATTTTAGGTGAAACCTAGAACGGGATCAAAATGCCTTATAATAAGGACCGAAGGGAGTACAATCGATATATATATATATATATATATATATATATATATATATATATAGAGAGAGAGAGAGAGAGAGAGAGAGAGAGATGTATATATATACATATATAGATTCGTTACTTATTTTTCAATCAATAATTTTTTATTTGCTTAATAATAGATCCGTGATCGTATTTAATATGACATTTTATTTATGTACAAATATATTTGATTGAGTATAATCACCATTCACTTTATTAAGTTGAAATAAAATCCTTGTATTATACAGTAATTATACTCAAATCATTATGTATATACTTCGATTATGATTTCGATCAAGGTAACATGGCTGCTAGCAAAGTAGTTAGTCCAGCTGGTGAAGTGAAATCATCAAGAGGAACAAATGGATTTTTTTTCTCCCACCTCTTTTTGTTACCTCTTATTATTATTATTTTAAAAAATATTGGGTGTTTTCTGTCTTTGTTAAATATTTGCAGTTCTCAACTGGGGGACCTAATATAAGAACACAAATAAATAATCGTTCCAAAATAATAAAAGTTACTTGAGCAGTTTGCATTGACTTGAGCTGTCTCCGACTTGCTTTGATGCTTTGAACATTTTCCATTTCAGACGGGAGAAAATGGCAAAGGGGTGATGTTGATGAAAGCTCTCTGAAGAAAATCGAAAGTGGAATTCATCCTTTGTTTTTTTCCTATCCCTTCACTCGGATTTCTTCCCTTTCAATCTACATCTGAAATTAAAAAATATGAACAATTTATTTCCCCCCCTTTTTTTATATGGTCGTGTATGCTAATATTTTCCCAAGTTTGAAAACTTTAGAAAGTATAGTAGATATTTGGTTGGACGATATTGTTCCATTTGTTCCTTGTTGAATATTCAAATCAATGCTTTAAGTTATGACCAAATTGAAATATATATACATATTCTTTCCGTCCTGAAATATGAGTTTCATTTGTTGATAACTACATAAATAAGTATGGTAATCCTGTATATACTAAAACATGCACAATCAATTTCCACCCGTGCCTATGGTGTTTATTAGTATCATCATTCCCGTTACTGAAACCCTAACATAAAATCATGAAGTCCGAAATATGATCGATCTGTTTTTTTTCTTTTCTTTTTGCATTTTCTTTTTTACGTTTTTCCACCTCTCTTGCTTTGATGCTTCTTGGCAATGATGATGATTGTGAACCCGTCTTGCTTATGTCAAGTTAATAAATTACTTATAGGTGGAATAAATTACTTAAACCTAATCATGTAACCATACACAACTTGCAGAAGTCAATCAGGATTTAATATACAATATTTACTTAGTTTTCTTTACTCGTTCTTACAATGTCATATTAATGTGCATGTTGCTAAGGATTACGTACAAGATTCATCACTTTACGAACTAATCAACACGTACGGTTTAAAGTCATTGTGGCCGTCCATATGCTTATTCCTCTAATTACAGCTTCAAAGCAGAGATTATTAACTAAATTTTCAATTAACGAGAATATCCATGAATATTCACCGTACCCGAACTTGCCATCTACCTTCCTAACCAAGAGTCTTTTTCAAGTTTACGAACATGATTTTTTTTTTTTAGGATGATCGATGTAAAAAAATACAAATTATTTCATACTTTGCTGTCACATTGTAGGAGCAGAAGACAGGGTCCAAAAAAACAAAAGCTTCCATGTGCAATGATAATGGAAAATTACCCTGTAATCTTTCCAATAGATTTCAACTGATCAGACTGTAAATTTTATGGATAGAAAAAGGCCTTTCATTAAATTCACAGCCCTGTTCATCTTTGTATGTATTCCACTAAACTCTATGAAGTTTGGTGGCTCCGTGAACAAGTTGATGGACAAATTGAACCAGGAAAAGGGAAGGGAAAAAAAAAAGAAGTTTGGCAGACATGACATCTTACTCAAAAATCAAGCAAACATTGCTTTTTAGACTTTCAATAATTTACTGATTTTTTCTCGTCCATTCTGGAATACCTTTTTCTCTCGAGGTTACATTCTAACAAAGCCATTTTCCCAAAAACCATTTGTTTTGTTTTTTAATTTTTCCCTTTCCAAAATGCTAACAATCACAATGATAGTTTACTAATGACAGCATTGATGAATACGTCAAAATTTCTTTTCTTTTTTCTGTTTTTTTTTTTGATGAAAAAACTTTCTTATTCACATTACACTAAACCTACTATGTAAATACGACGACCACTAATTATGTTCCAAGACAACTGTTTAATTCCTCCATTAAAACAATGACGGTGAAGAATTTGGACACCCTACTGTTTGGAAAAGAAATGGAAGATGGAAAAAAGAATAGGGGATACGGTCGTTAGCAAAATAACTAAACATTTTAAAATTGTTAATGTCTGCTTTCACACAAAATGTCAAATTTCGGCAGCCACTAACAAGTTTGCAAAACTATACCAAAGCGAACACTACTATTATAAATCGTGAACACATGAGACCTTACATGGCATATCATGACAGAATCAATATAATTTATTGGATTAGGTGAAATAATAGAGAAGTACCATAAAATAATGACCAATTTTTTTTTCTCAATCTCAATAGTCAAATTGGTATCAAAGAACAGTCAGAGGACAACTCATTATTGGAACATGTCCTTACAGGTTTAACCTTTTCTTGGTTGTTAACAAATGATTTTGAACAGGTTTTACCTCAAAATATGTCATCATTGGAGGGTAAAAGAAAGGACAATTTGCGGCTATAAAAGGAAGACTAGAAGCGGCATCATAAGCATAAGCAAACAGCCATAGTTTTCTAGTAAAGATGGGGAGCCACCACACTCCTCTCCTCGCCACCTTTCTGGTGGTGTTTCTTGCTATTTGCCTTCCTCTAGAAACCTCAGCTGACGATCATTACAAGTACTCATCTCCTCCCCCTCCCCCTCCGGTGTACAAGTACAAGTCTCCACCACCACCACCTCCGGTTTATAAGTACAAGTCTCCTCCACCGCCTCCTCCGGTCTACAAGTACAAGTCTCCCCCGCCACCACCCCCTTATAAGTACAAGTCTCCACCACCACCTCCTCCGGTCTACAAGTACAAGTCTCCCCCGCCACCACCCCCTTATAAGTACAAGTCTCCACCACCACCTCCTCCGGTCTACAAATACAAGTCTCCCCCGCCACCACCCCCTTACAAGTACAAATCTCCTCCACCACCCCCATACAAGTACAAGTCTCCACCACCACCTCCTCCGGTCTACAAATACAAATCTCCTCCACCGCCACCACCATATAAGTATAAGTCTCCCCCACCACCCCCATACAAATACAAGTCTCCTCCTCCGCCTCCTCCGGTTTACAAGTACAAATCTCCTCCACCACCACCTCCGTACAAGTATAAATCTCCCCCACCACCCCCATACAAATACAAGTCTCCTCCTCCACCTCCTCCAGTCTACAAGTACAAGTCTCCCCCACCACCACCACCTTATAAATACAAGTCTCCCCCACCACCCCCATACAAGTACAAGTCTCCTCCTCCACCTCCTCCGGTCTACAAGTACAAATCTCCCCCACCACCACCCCCGTATAAGTACAAGTCTCCCCCACCACCACCGTACAAATACAAGTCTCCTCCACCACCTCCTCCGGTCTACAAGTACAAGTCTCCTCCACCACCACCACCTTATAAGTACAAGTCCCCTCCACCTCCTCCTCCCGTCTACAAGTATAAGTCTCCACCTCCACCTCCTCCGGTTTACAAGTACAAATCTCCTCCACCACCACCATATAAGTACAAGTCCCCTCCACCACCACCTCCCGTCTACAAATACAAGTCTCCACCACCACCTCCTCCAGTGTACAAGTACTACTCTCCTCCTCCTCCTCACCACTACTAAGCAAGCCCGCAAGTTTTAAGGTAATATTCAACTGAACATCCACATGCATGCAAATTTGATAATGATCAATTTTCAAACAAAGTTCATGCAAATAGTATCCACATGCAACCGTCAACGTACAAGTTCTGACAAATTCAAATGCTACATTTTTTGTTTCTTTTGCAGGAGAAAGGGATGAAATGAGTCAGCCATTATTAAGTGTTTCATGAAGACGTTGTTTGTGAAAAGAAGAATAAAGATGAAAGCCCATAAATCTGATCCAAGATCAAAATTGCAACTTTGAAATTGAATCTTTGTATGAGTTTTCTTCTTTAGGAAGTTTGTTTTATGCTCCCATCTGATTGATAGGGTTTGTTTGTATTCATTTCGATTCCCCGCAGTCCATGCATGTTATTCTGTCTTTTGCGGGCAATTATTGTCCAACGTGAATGAATAAATTCGTTTCTTGTCCCAATTTTTTTGAATCATTTTTAATTCGCGCTATGTACTCATATTTTATCTATGAACTGATTCCAATCAACAAGGATCGAAGTATAAATATTTTTCCCAAACAAATTAAGAAAAAAGATAAAATCTTTTCAGTATCTCGTCAAGTTGGAGTTCTTATTATGAAATGCGTTTTCCTTTTTTCACTTACAAATCGAAATTAAATAGAGTTGACACTTTTACCAAAATTCAAAAATGACCATGTACTCATTGGTGAATCGGAGAAAACGTTACGTATTTTTGAAACACGACTTTAGGTCATTATTCCTTTAGGAGTAATTAAGGAAATTTGTATCTTTCTTGACATATGGTCCACGCGCTTTATGTTGTAACTTTTTTTTTTAAGAGTAAATTGCTTATGAACAAGACATATATTTAGCTAGACAAAACATTTGTGACACGATTAGCGTCGGATGCTTGTTTCGATTTATGGTTTACTCTACGAGAACGGGATCAAACTATAGTGCATTCTACTCACTTACTTATCTGCGAAATTTCTCCAAATTAATTCTGCTCTTATAACTTAATAGTCCATATGTAGCGTAAAACTACTGCTGTGCAATAATAATGCCTTAATTATGTCTTGGTAATTCTGAAAATTACATATGCTGCTCAATTTAACTGACACAAGAGCTCTTTCTTTGAAAGGAACCGACATACGTATTCTAGTTCTAGCTATTCTGAGAAAATAAAATAAAATTCAAGCACTTCGAAAACCTCCTTTTGGTTCTTTGCGGCATAACTAAAAAATATTACCAACTACTTAACCAATTTCAAATGAATGTACTCGAAACTGGCAACGGTTTTGCTTTCCTTTCTTTTTTTCTTTCTTTTTTTTTTTGTTGAGAAATCGAGTTGGTATTGGCAATTAACAAACAATTTTTTATTTTTTTTTAACATACCTCTATTCGAATATCTTTAAATGATTTACGTGTAGTGTCCTATAAAGCCAGTTTCGTAGTAGTGGTATTACCGTGTCCTATAAAGCCAGTTTCGTAGTAGTGGTATTACCACTTTATAAGTAAGTAATAGTTAAACCCCAATCTTCCTTTGTTTCGTGTTGATGAATATATCTATCTGTACACAGTGAAACCTATCTAAATTAATGGTTGGGACCTCAAAAATTTATTAGTTTATATAGTTATTATTTATCTGATAAATTAATAATTTATTTATTTAAAGAGTTTTCTAAAATCTTGTTTATATGAAAAATATAAAAGTTTATGATTTTTACATTAAGAAAAGTTGGTCGATACCCGATTTACATTATTATAATTTATTAATAGAACAAAAAAGATGATAAATTGCAAAATACAAAAAAATGCTTAAGTTAAGATATAATTTAATCATTAAATTTAAATTTTTATTCAAGATATTTATTTATTTATTTTTTGATAAAGTGTAAATTTCTTTACTTCATCAACCAGCTTGTACAATTTTCCGTCCAATATATTTACATGTTGATTCCCAGTCTACTTAAGAACCGAATGTCATCACCACTACCATTCCTATACAACCATTTGATTTTACATTTCAATTCATCTTGCACCATCCTCACTCTATTTCGAATTGTTACCATCTTAACAGAAAATTTTCTGCTGTTTCTTTCCATCCACAAATGATACATCACAGCATTGATTCCAGCATGAAGCACTTTCCTTCACAGCCTTCTAAACTTCCATATTTTGATGATCCACTTAACATTGAGCTCTTCAATCTTGCTGTGTACTCCCAGCCAGTCCATCATTTGTGTAGTCTCTTCCTCTTGTTCACATATCACACATTTATCTTCTATTATGTCCATGTTCATTCTTTTCAGCCTGTCCATTGATAGAGTTCATAAATTATATTTTAATTGTTATTATTTTATTAGTTTTTGGACTTGGATAGTTTTAATTCATTTGATTTAATTAATGTATTGTGTTAGGTGCTGAAAATCGGAGTTGACAACTTTTCTGGATTAATTGATGCAAAAAGGATTGATTGCAAAATCATCTAGCTGAGCAAAGGAAGAAGTTCACTCTGTTGAAGGATCTAATTACAAAACATAAAAGTTATTGGGACTTGAAGTTGATAATGAAGAAACTCTTGGACTGAAATTGACCACTAGAGAAAGCTTGGGCCAAATTTGAAGAGACTGAAAAATTAAAGGACAATGCTACAATATTTTCGCCCCACTTCTTGTTTTATTCGGCTGACCTAATTCCGTAAAGAGGCCGTTTTATTCTATTTGGCCACGGTTTTTGGCCACAAAAAATTTGGTACATTTGCTTTTGGCCTCGGAGGTCTGCGATTGAGTTACTTCATTATGAGATTTTGTTATTAATTTATTGTTCTTGCTTATGATTTAAGTATTTGTTGATTCTTGTCTTAATTTATGAAAGTAGATATCATTTGAATTGACAACTTGATTTGTTATTTACTTTCTAGTGCTATCTGCTAGTTGAATGTTACGTAATAGACACGAACCGGCAGTACTGAGTAGCAATTAGACAAAGTATGTATATTGGTGAGACATTGAATATGCATATTAGTTTAAATTTGGAATCAATGGGACAAAGTTTGAATAGTTGCAGCTATCTCAATTGTTTAGGTTTTGGTTCAATTATATTTCTTTGGTATTTATGCAGTCATTGTTTGACATGGAATGCTATCGTGCCCAGCTGGATTATGATAAGGACTAATTGAGTGCTAAGCTTGGTTAGTTGATTTAGAGAGATTAATTGATTTATTGTGGCTATCCTAATAGATCTTTGGTTGAATGCTTAGATTGCTTGAATAGTTTTAGCAATCCGTGATTAATGAAATAATTGAGTTGGTCGTCCCTTGAGTCAGAAGTTTGTTACCTTGATTTCTTTTCTTTTATTTATTTTCTATTATTTGAGTTTTCTTTATTATAGATTAAAACAACAACAAAAATTCTCATTTGCATTAATTTAAAGGAAACAATCTATCGTTCCCTGAGGAGACAACTTTACTTCTCTATATTAAGTAACTTGAAGTAGGTTTATAATTCTTTGTGTGGATTGACACCCCATCAAATTGGCGCCGTTGCCGGGGAACGTTGTTAATTGATTTGTTTCCTTTAAATTTTTGTTTTGTTTTTTTTTTCTTTTTGCAATGGATCCATATGCACATCAACCTTGGAACTGACAAGATGACCATTGGAATACAAATGAGGTAAGTTCTTCGTCTCTTGAGCAAAAATTATTTGAACTAACGTCTCTTGTGAAAAATTTTGCTGTAGACCAACTGAAAAAAGTAAAAAGATGTGGTTTTTGTTCATTGACCGGCCATACTAGAGACTTTTGTCCAAGTTTAGCAAATTACCAGTGGGAGCGTCAGAATGTCATGAGTGAATATTGGGGACCGTCACAAGAAAGATACGAATATAATTCATATTCACATGATTCAGGCTGGCAGGATTACCAGAATTTCAACTATGAATATCAGCCATATTAGCCACAACAAATGTATCATGTTCCGGAACCTCCACGGTCTCGAAGCTCAGGTTTGTCTTTAGATGAGATCGTTAACGCTTTAGCAGCTAATACTCTTAAATTTTAACAGGAAACAAGAGCAAGCATACAAGAAACAAGAGCTTCCATTCAAGATTTGGGGAGCCGAATCAGCCAGCTAGTTAATTCTATTAGCAAGTTCGAGGTCTCAAAGTCTGTGAAAGTACCATCTCTGATAGCAATCTCGTAGATGAAGAAAATTTCGTTAATGCAACCATCAAATAAGAAAGTACGAAGATAATTTGTCTATCCCGTGAAACTCAAAAGAGTGCGGAAAATTCACAGTAAGACGATCGTTTATCTAAGGATTTCTATCTCTTAACTCAAACCAAGCAAAGAACACATTATCCA